CGGAGACAGCCACGTTCCCGGTGAGAGCCTGGCTGGTGAGCTTTTTCCACACTCTGGGTGCCAGCCCTCAGGCCCGGGGGAGGGGAGGGGAGGGGAGAGGGCGGTTTCCACGGCAACCCCACTTTTGTTATTCCTTATTTTCTTTTTTATGGCTTCTCCAACTCTGAAGCGCTCCAGACAGCTTACCGCCGGCCAAAAGGAAAAGTGCTTTTCCTTCGATCCTGAGAAGCCTCCAGGGGGGCAGGGGCGGCACCTTCCCAGGGCACAGCCAGCCCGGAGACCCCAGCCTGCCCCAGAGCCCAAGGGCCACAGTGAAGGCTGCAGACCAGCCGGAGCCAGACTCTACTTCAGAGAGGCGGGTTCCCTCTGTAAACATTCTAGGGAGTCTCTTCCTTCCAAACAGCAACCTCCACTCCGGCAGAGGGGCGGGGGGCTCTGCCCGCTTGGGGGAGGCGGGCCCCGTCCTGCATAAGCACCCCCTTCCCCATTCCTGGCTCCACTCTGCTCCCCCCAAACTCCCCTCCATTAAACAAAACTCACTGCCATCGAGTCAATATCCACTCACCGACCCCCTTAGACAGGGCAGAGCTGCCCTGGGGGTTTCTGAGACTAGTGTTTGATAGGACTGGAAAGCCCTGTCTTTCTCCCAAGGAGCGGCTGGTGGTTTCGAACTGCCCACCTCGCAGGTTGTGGCTCCATGTGTAACCACACTGTGCAACCAAGGCTCCCTCCACCCCATCGGGGCCCAGGCCCCCCAGCAGGCCCTCAGGAAGCCAGGACCCCTGGGTGGGGTCACAGCGGTCACCCAGTGCTGAGGAGACATGAGATGGTTTGAACAGGCCTTGGGCAAGATTAGGGCCAAGGCTGGGGTCAGGGGCAGAGGCTGTACCGGCAGGTGGGATGGGGCCTGAGGGGACTCATGGGAGTGGGCGGGGAGGGGACAGCTTTCAAACCCAGTTTCTAGGTGGGGGTCTGAGTCGAGGGTGCCTCCAGGGGTCTCCTGGCAGTCTTGAGCAGGCTGCTGCCCCTGTGGGGAGCCCCAGACTCGTGGCCGGCTGCCCACTGGTGCCGGCTGGTAGCCCGGAGCATAAGCATCTCCCACCCCCCACCTTTCACAGGGGAGTATGTGCTCATGATCCATGATGTGACCACGCCCCCGTTCCTGGGCTGCCCCCTGCCCACCGCCTTCAAGCACCTGCGGGTCTCAGCAAAGGAGTCCGGCCAGAGGCCACAGGTTCCAAAAGGAGACCCGGGGACACCTCACAAGAAGCAGCCGGAGCTCTGCGAGCAGCTAGCCCACTGAGAACTTGCGTCCCTCTGCTGGCCATGGACACGGAATGGGCAGCGGGGGAGAGCTGCCACCCCCTCGGGCAGCCCTGAGTGAAGCTGGTGGGGTACCAGGTTGCACCCCCACCCCACGCTGTGTTCCACATTTGAATAAAAATGTTTCTCCCATGGCTCCTGAGGCCTCACACACCAGTGGCTTCTGCTGGACAAGGACGTGGCAGCCACCCCTGCCCACTTCAGCCTGTGTCCTTGGCCACTGCCCATGACAGCCCTCTGCCCAGCTCTGAGCCCCGGAGAGATGGCAGCTCAGCAGGGGGCCACAGTCAAGGGCATGTTTCCCGGGAGCAGGCTAGGAGTCTGTGGTGACGGCCCATTACAAGAGGATTTGACAAGGCCAGGCCAGGCCTGGAGCAGCACCCCAGGTCTGGGGAGTAGGTGGAGCTCGGAGGGGCACCTCTGGACTGAGCGGGGCAGGAGTCTAGGAGCTGCAGTTGCCAACCCCTATGAGAGCTTAGATGATGAGGGCAGGGGGACTGAGAGTGGCTGGGGCAGGGAGCCCCTGCTTCCTTCCTCTTCCCTAACCTGTCTCAGAAGTACAGTCAGAATGCTTCTTGGAAGCCAGGATGGAGAGACGTCGCCTGAGGTATTTTGGACATCTTGTCAGGAGGGGCCAGTCCCTGCAGAAGGACATCAGGCTTGGTAAAATAGAGGGTCTGAGAAAAAGGAAGACCCCACCCACCCACCCAAAGGACTGGCCCAGTGGCTTCAGCCCTGGGCTCAAACGTAACAGTGGGGAGGGTGGCGCAGAACCGGGCCGCGAGCGTTCTGCTGTGCATGGCGTCCGCCCCTAGGTGCTGGGGCCAGCTCAGCAGCATGAGGGCCGAACCACAAGGCCCAGGCGAAGTGCCCTTGCCAGGAAGGCTGGCTCTGGCTCAGCACAGACTGGTTCTGCCAGTCCCCATCCTGGAGTGGCCTGTGGAGGGTACAGCCACACGAGAAGGTGTGGGCTCTGCACACACACACACACACACACACACACACACACACACACCAGAGAACCCCTTGCATGACAACTGCCCAGGCAGCCAGAGACAGCGCAGGCACATGCAGAACTGGGTACCAGGGCAGGGCTCACCTAGGCAGGCTGCAGAGGCTGGGGGTGAGCCTGGAGGCTCCCGAAGCCCACACTGCAGAGCATGCCGGTATGGCCCAGGAGAGTGGTGGGCAGGAGTGGGCAGCTCCCTGCCCCTGAGTGTGTCCCAACACAGGTGCCAGCAGCAGTGGGGGTGGGGGGTGCCCTGCTCTAGAAGAACTAAATGTTCGGACCCCGGGGACCCCTGCTCTGAGTAGCACTGTCGG